GTTGTGGCTCAGCAGTAGAGCACTCGCCTAGCACATGTGAGGGCCTGGATTCCATCCACAGTGCCGCATAAAAATAAATAAATAAAATAAAATATTGTGTCCAACTACTTCTAAAAAATAAATATTAAAAAAAAGTAGTTGTGTGTTTGGTATTGGTGGTAGGGATAGCCCTTGTAAGTGAATGGCCCCAAATACCACTGGTCCTCTGTCTTGGTGTAGGATTTGGGCTGTGTCTAAGTGGTTTTTCTGACTTTAGGTCCAAAGTCACAGCTTGCCTTGAGGTGATCACATAGTCTCTACATTCATATCAAATTCTTTGTGTATAAAATGTGGAAATAGTAATGTCTGCTTGGGGTAATTTAGCAAGGGACACCAGATCTCAGGCCTGCTGAGTTGCTATAGAATAAAGCAAGACAGTATCAAAGTCAGGAGCAGAGGCAGGGCCCCAGGGTTCTGTGAGAGCTGAGATCTAGTCCAATTTGAGACTTTGCAGCAACATCTTAGTGTAGCATAGGAGTGTGAGCAAGCCCCTCTACCCGCCTTAGTTCTTATGTGTGCTCCTTGGCTGGCTCTAGGAACCCACTCAATGTGACAGCTTGATTGACAAGACAAAAGCATGAAAGTTAAATCTACACGTACAAAGGGATCTTCACAAGAGAGCGGAGTCTGAAGAAATTACCACAGCGTGCTGCTTTTGTACTTTTTAGGCAAAGAACAATACATCTGTGATGATAGGACAAATAGATATGGGGCTCAAGCCCCATAAATTCTAGGGATATTACTAATATTACCAGGAGATGGCTGGGGGTAGAAGTCAGTGGAAGAGACGGGCTATGTCAGAGCTTTATTCAGGTTCCCTGCAGCCCCATTACCAGTCTGTTTTCCAGGATTGGTATGGAGAACATCCCTCCCCCAAAACTCTTTACAGCAGGCTGCATGTAGAGAAAGTCAGACCAAATGGCCCCTTTTGAGTTATAGTTCCTCATCTGATTTCAGCTGGAAAATATCAATGTGCCAATTCAGCATATTTTGCCTTAACTCTTAGTTGGATCGTCCCATGGATCCTCATATTGTCACATGATGTCTAGGCAGCCAAGAGTTAGCATGAAGCAATGTCTTGCAGGGTCACCTATTCTCATCACAGCTATCCCTGTGCAATGCAGAGCTAAGTGTCTTGAGGTGTCTGTGATCTAAGACCAGAGGAGGAAAACTCATGTCTCATGTTTGTTCCATCTCTTTTCTCTCTGAACAGTTCTTTGAGTTCCAATTGTGTAACAAGCCTCTTGTTTGTGGTACCCTAATGAGTGAATCCCAGGCACCACCCAGGCTGGATGGAGGGTGTACTGAGAGAGCTATCTGCTAACAGGTGGTTAGGTGAAGAGCTTCCTCTGAGGTATCCGGAGCACTTTGTGGGTTGTGATATTTGTGGTCAACCTCAGACACTGGGCTTCCCTGACTCACAACATGCCTCATCTCTGAGATGTGAGGACAGCACCCACCTTTCCTGTCTCTGGAGATTGAAGTGAGGTAACACTGAGACTTATGGGGAAACTCAATGTTTGAAGGTTGTCCAGCAGGTCCCCAGCAGTGTGTGATACAAGATGGTGGGTCAGCCAGGGCTCAGGGTTCAATGTGCAGCTGTGAATTTCAGATTTGCCTTCGTTAGACCAGTATAACTAAGTCCTTTTAACCATGACCCAGACTTTCTTCTCTCATAATAAGTCTGTCACTGGAGTTGAGTGAATGCCAGTTGAGTGAATTCTAGTTATTTCTCTTGCTGTGTGAGCTTACCGAGATTACCTAACCAGTCTGAGTCCCAGGTTTATCATCTGTAAAATGAATATAATAGTACATATTTCCTAGAGTGTCTATGACGATTAAAGGAGAGAGTTTGGATAGAGTGCCTGGCACACAGTGACTACTGTAAAATCTGTCATTATCAGGACTGGATAAGAAATCCTAGAAAGCTCACTGAGAATCAGTAAATCAGTATAAGGTTCCTCCCAGGCCATTTCTGTGGTTGGTTGTGCTGTGGTTGCAGTCATATGGATCCACATAGAACACAGGGTGGTTGAGAGACAATAGAATGTCATATTTTCACTTGTGATGAGTAATGCAGGTACTTGATACTGAATATCACCATATTATGTTAAAATACTGGAATACTATATAGCCTTAAAAAGGAAGGCAATTCTGACATTTGCTGTCACATGGATGACCCTTGAGGATGTTATGCTGAGTGAAATAAACCAAACACAAACACACAAAAACCATACGATTCCACTTGTATGAGGTATTAAGAGTAGTCAAATGTATAGAACAGAAAGTGTAAGCATGGTTACCTGGGGTGGAGGAGGAATAAGGAGGCATTATTTAATTATACAGAGTTTCAGTTTTGCAAGATGAAAAGAGTTCTGGAGATGGTTTGTGAATATACTTAACAGAAGTGAAGCGTACATTTGAAAACTGTTAAGATAGTAAATTTAGGTGTATTTCAGCATAATTTTAAAAATAAAATTAAAAACTATTTATCAAGCATGTWCCTGTCGTGTTCCTCATGACTAAAACACTCAGGGTCACTCCAGATGAACTGGGCTGCACGAAATAATCACACAAGAGACAGAGGAACCTTTTTCTTTGGATCCTGTGACGGCTTCTCTGACCTTAAGGCACGTGCTGACCCCTTTTATTGAGGAGAAGCCATTCAAATGAGGCCAGGGGTCAGTTTCCAGGGGGTTGAGTCTAACTTCCTATGTCCGCTGTCAGCAGATTGACTGATGTCTAGAAAGGCCACACCCTAAGGCAGAGCAAGAGAAGGGGACACACAAAGGGCGTTTCCATGGAACATTCTATCCCAAACAGGGCAAAGGGGGTAGTATTACAAAAGAATAGGTGAGTGTAGCTCAACCCCATGGGTGACACACTTACACCTGAAGACACACCTTCTAATTCCCAGGCTGGGACAATGCCCAAGTCACCACAAAATGCAGTGATTGGTCAGAGCCTCTTGCTTCAGAACTGGATGGCGTGGGTCATTCAGAGTGGCTCCCCACATGTACTAAGTGTCAGGCATCGTACAGACACCAAGAGAGCCAATGTCAAAACCACCGTCGTGCCTGTCTCCCTTTACTGAATTTATAGACTGGCAGGGGAAAAGCAGATTGAACAGGGACTTGACCTGGTCAGGAAGGACAGATGAGACCAAGAGTAGAGGTGAGACATAGTAGGGAACACTCCAGAAAGAGAGAGCAGCATGTGCACAGGGCTCAGAGAGGGCCACAGGAAGGGTATTGTCTGTCTGTGAGCAGAATGGGCAACCACTGAGGGTTTTGGACAGAAAGTAGAGAGAGACAGGCAKAAGGGCAGGTTTGTGCTTTAACAGTCACTTGGGAGGGATGGTCTTTCTTACATGGATGGATCCTTCCAAACTCTGACAGTTTTTCTTAACTGGGCCCTTGCAGTAGTTCCCATCCTGGCGTTTGCAAAGCCCTGGCAAGAAGACCCAGGAGACCCACATCCCTTCAGCTGAAATAGTCACAGATTATAATCCAGCTGACTCACTACTACCAATATATTCCATCCTCCTACCCCAAAAAGCATGTCTCTGTAAGTGAACTGTCATAGAAAGAGAGACTTTCTTTTTTTTTTTAATGACTGAGAGTAAAAAAAAGTATCAAAGATGATTGAATTTGACTATAATTGCAGCCTGGTGGTCCTCTTGGGCCGTTGAGAATTGGATGAGTATAAGATATTTATAATTGATAAATCATTTCCTATAGCATTTTTGCCTTCATTATAGCAAGATCAATAATTATGCTCTGATTAATATTTTAACATAATTTGTGTTCTTTTGACAGAAAGTCTGAGTTAGACTTCTCTTTCTGATAAGAGCTTATTGAATATAATTTGTGTACTATAAAATTCATCTATTTTAAGTGTATGATTTGAGTCATTCTAGTCCGAGGAAACTATCCTAATATAGGCACACCAGCCTGAACCTTTAAGAAAATTCTTAACACTTAGATTTGGAAATGAACCATGAGTAGCTCAAACTAGGTCATGGGATCTCATATGATTAATTTTATCTATCACAGAATATATTAGGAGATACTTTAATTCCATTGTATATCTCTCTCTACGTACACTACAGCTTTTATGTATGTCTGTATTGGGAGGAGGACTACTAGGGATGGAACTCAGGAGCACTAAAGCACTGAGTCCCATCCCCAGCCCTTTTTAATATTTTATTTACAGACAGGGTCTCACTAAATTGCTTAGGGCCTCACTAAGATGCTGAGGCTGGCTTTGAACTCATGATCCKCCTGCCTCAGCCCCTCAAGCCACTGAGATTACAGGCAGACACCACCACACCCAGCTATGCTATAGCTTTTATCATCTTGCCAAGCAGTATCTCAATCTGATGTAAATGTGGAGCCTTGGCATCATATTTTCTRTATGTCACGACTGAACAGTTTAATATGGTCAAATGTTCCTTGGCTGCTATGGAGTTTTGAGAACCTTCTGAGCTCCAGATTGGAACATGAAGAGAAGCAATTGTATAGACACTTGGCACGGGTGGGAAACCAGGCTTCACTGTGCAATGATCAAGTGTATTCATGAGTCTGAAAGGCAGGGACTGGCAAGTTAATCAGCCTTTTCTCTTCTCCAAGTGTTTCTGCTGTTCAAATCATGCYTGCACGCTGCAGCAGCCTGACCGCCATCACTGTCAATATTAGCAGCCATGAAGCCCTCAAGTGTCCAAGGCTCTCTCACACAGTTATCTGTTGTTTCAAGGACTCAGGGCAAGGACTGAAGGGAGGCATTTCCCTGTGCCCAGGAAGGTACTACCCTGCACCCTAGAACTGCATAAGCATTTGACAGGTTCACTTCATTGACCTATCCACTGTGTTAGGGACTCGTACTCCCAGGAGATCCTTTTTCTCTCAGGTGTGGCTTTTGAAGTTAGCTAACTGTGTTCTTCACTTGTTTTTGCCTTATAGGAACTGGTGAAAGTGGGAAGAGTACCTTTATCAAGCAAATGAGAATCATCCATGGGTCTGGATACAGCGATGAAGATAGAAAGGGGTTCACGAAGCTGGTTTATCAAAACATCTTCACTGCCATGCAAGCCATGATCAGGGCCATGGACACCCTGCGGATACAGTACGTGTGTGAGCAGAACAAGGTAAAGTGCTGGGGGCTTTGGCTCTGTTTGTGAATGTATGCCATCCTACTCTGGTGAGTGGATGTCTTTGAACAAAGGGATTCACCAAGTGCTTTAGTCCGATGCCAAAAGCAGCTCTTGAGCTCACGTTTTTGAGATGGAGACACTGGAGAGAAGTAAGATGGACTTCACTCTGTAGTCTGTAGAAAAGACCATTGATGATGCTTCTGTGATGCTTTGCAGTGTACAGGGATTCAGAAGGCTAAGCGGTTGTCAAGGTTGCTTATCTCAGGCAGCAGAGAAGGAAGGTGTACACATTTCCTTTTCATCCTTGAGACCTACTTAATTTCTGCAGTGGAAAGTGGAGGAGATACTGGGTTTACAGTGGGCAGCCTTTCAAGAATTTCCAGTCTCTGGAAATATTTTCATGAATACACTGCTGACTACTCGAATAAATCAGTGGGGTTTGTTTGTGTATGTTGGGAATTAGCTCTTCTTGGGAAAAAGAGAGAGTCTACCAGAGCCATGCCAATATCCTAGCTGGCGAAGTGCTAAAGTGCTCTCATGAAGTGGTGGTGTCCATCTGGCATTTGCTTTCCTGTGGCCACTGGTTATAGAAAATACAAATCTGCTTAAGATCWGAGGAAGGTAATGAGGTGGGAGGGTGGGAGGAGAAGGCAAATAAAGTTTTATGTTGTATATTGGAATGCAAATCCATAGGAAAACAATACTGTGTCTGAGTTCATAAGAATCTAGACTAGAAATAAGAGGTTATTTTAAATAATCAGTTCCAAGGTATGAGATGATGTGATGAAGAGGAAAATTCTCTTTTTCAAATGGGTCTTTCACAGATCTATTTAAAAAGAATTTAGCAGCTATAATGCCAGAATTGCATGGACTTTATTTAGTATAACTTGACCATGAGCTTGTGGAYCCTGCATTTGTGTGTGTGTGTATACATACACGTATACATGACAGAGTTTCAAAGCAATCAAAAAATTACATTTTTATTCCTTGGTGACTGGCTTACATAGGAAAACACAATACACACAAATGTTGGACATACCTTTACATTATCTCTGTGACTTTGTCTAGCACCATTTTCTTTCAGTCTCAAAATCTCTTGAAGGAAGCTGTCTTCCCTACAGTTTCTACCTTCAACAGTGGTGGGCTGAAAAGTGTGTGAGGTGAATTGGGATAGGTTATATCTGGTGCCAAGGAATGCTAGAGGTGAATGTTAAACCAAGGGGTATATTCTAGAAGTGACTGGGATGATCCCTTTCTCCTTCGCTTTTGAGTACATGCATTTTCTTTTTTTTCTTTTTTTTTTTTTAAACTATTTTCTTTTTTTTTTTATTGGTCGTTCATAACATTACATAGTTCTTAATACATCATATTACACGGTTTGATTCACGTGGATTATGAACTCCCCCTTTTACCCCGTATACAAATTGCTGTATCACATCAGTTTCCCTTCCATTGATTGACATATTGCCTTTCTAGTGTCTGATGTATTCTGATGTCTGTCCTATTCTCTACTGCATTTTCTTTTTGAAGGTGTATAATTCATTCTTATTTACCTTCTATGATATCTTYTAAAAATTAGGCATTCCATGGGGATGAAGATTACTTCAGAGGAGAGTCATGGCAGGAACGACCTTCTGGTGATTTCAGTTCATCTGTTTACCCTGGYGTAAAATGCATTTTGCTGGCCAGTCAGAGTGGGGGCACTGGGTGAAGCCTGCAACCCAGGGGTGGGTTTGTAACTGAACGCTTGGGAAGAGAAGGCTGAGTGGAAGCYGGTTCTGCCCACCTCAGCTACATGTGTCTGTGAACCTGATGGGATTGGTGACCAAGTCCTCTGGGTTCCTGTCTGTTATGTTTTCCTCCACAGTTTCTAGAGGTACCTTGAGTTTATGTTTTAAACAAAAAGATGTTGTGGGGTTTGATTTTTCACTACTTTCCCTTTCTATTGTTCTTCAATTCTTTCTCCTAAGGCCATCTCCAGTTTTCACTCATCTGCTTCAATGTCCTAGGGACACTCTCCTTGGCTGTCACAAAGGACCTCAAGCTGGGTGACTTAAAAAAGAAACATACCCCTCTCCCCGAGTTCAGGATACCACATATCTAAAATCAAGGTTGGTTGGTTCCAAGGAGAGGCTCTGAGGAAGAACCGATTTCCTGCTTCTCTCCCAGGGTCCAGGGTCTGGTGGTTGCTGGGAATCTGTTGTTTTGTAGGCATGTCACCCCGGTCTCTGCTGCTGTCTTCACACAGCATCCTCCCCCATGTGTCTGCATTTATATGGTGTTGTCCTCTCTATGCCGATGTCCAAATTTCCCTCTTCTTATAAGGACATTAGTCATCGGATGAGGGCCCACACTAATCCAGCATGACCTCCTCTTAACTTGATTACATTTACAAATTGCTGCTTCTAAATAAGGTTACGTTCTCAACTTCAGTGGGCCTGAACGTTAGAGCCAACGTTGTTCAACCCAGTATGCTCTGCCTCCGGCTTCCAAGGTTCATATCCACCCTAAATGCAAAATACGGTCACTCCTCCCCAACATCCCTGAAGGTCTTAACCTATTCCAGCATCAACTCTGAGTCCCAAATTGAATCTAAATGTCAACTCAAAAAGCCTCAAATTCCATCGTCTATATCAGGTGTGGGAGAGAATCTGGATGTGATCCATACTGGGCAGGATTCCTCTCCATTCACCATCCATGAAACTGGGAAACCAGTCAGCTATACCTCCTGCCTCCTCCTCTTCTACTATATCTAGCTGGTTCCTTCTTCCTTTTTACTTCGAATATCTAGATTAGTGCTCCATAAACTTTCTCTTGCCCTTCAGACAGATGCCTAGGAAGAACTACATGCTGGAATGACTTAGAGAGAGGCAGAAAATTGAGTGGAAAGAACACTGGATTGGCTCTCAAAAAGCTGGGCTCTGCTCATGGCTCTCTGTGGGTCTAGGGCAGAAGTCAGCAAACTTTTTATATAAAGGGCAGAGATTCAATATTTTTGGCTTTGTGGGCTGTCCTGTCTCTGACACAACTATTTAGCTCTGCCTTTGTAGCATAAAAGCAACCACAGACAATATGTAGAATGTGAACACTTAAGCATGGCTGACTTGTAAACTCTATTTACAAGACATAAAACTAACCCAAAACACACACACACACACACACAAACACAATAGCAACACAAAAGATCTTCCCAACTCACTGACCAAATAGAAATTCATTCAAGCCACAAGCAGATTGTCTGTGGACTGTGGATTGTAGACCCTGGCCCTAGGGGAAGATGGAACCCATTTTTCTATCCCTCAACTATTAAATGCAGATGACACACAGTGTCTACTTCATAAGGAGAACTAAGCAACAAGGAGTTCCATACAAAATAAATGGCACCCAAGAAATGTTAGGTCATAACTGGACAAGTTCAAAACCAAACATGGACTCATTATTTCTTCTAGTGCTTRTCTAGGCCGTTTTCATCCATCTCTTCTCTGTTGTTTTTCTGTGGGGTATTATTGATTCTTATAATTTTCTCTGTGGGCTAGTRCTATGGTTTAGATATGAAGTGTCCTCCAAAGGCTCATGTGGGAGACAATGCAAGAAGGTTTAGAGGTGAAATGATTGGGTTATGAGAGCCTTCACCTAAAGTGCATTAATCCCCTGAAAGGGATTAGCTGGATGGTAACTGTAGGCAGGGAGGGTGTGGCTGGAAGAGGAGGTCCCTGTGTCTTTGATGTCTATATTTTGTGGGTGGTGAGGGGAGCACCTCTTCCTCTGCCTGGTGCTGGCCATGTCCTGAGATGCTTTGTTGTACCACACCCTTCTGCCGTGATGTTCAGCCTCACCTGGAGCCCTGAGGAATGGAGCTGTCTGTCTATGGATTGAGATCCCTGAAACCCTGAGCCACCAAAGAAACTTTTTCTGAAAACTGTTCTTGCCAAGTCTTTTGGTCACAGCAGCAAAAAACGCTGAATAAAGCAGCAGATACCATGCTTAGGTCATAAAATAATGATATTATTAACATTTTAGTATAGTCAGTAATTAGTTTAAGAAATATGCTATATGTTAGCTTCTTTACAACGTACTGCATAACTTGAAATAATTGATTAGTTAAGGTGGGGATAATACTGTAGGTGAGCTTAGTGGTAGATTGCTTGCCTAGCCTGCACAAGGGGCTGGATTTGATCACTACCCAACCCCATTCCCCAAAAAATAGAGGAAAAGAAGGATGAATAAAACCTTACTTAGAAAAAAAAACCTTAATTAAGTTTATTTTGCAGCACAGAAATGATTCCCTTGATTCCTGTTGCTGAGTATTTATTTGGATCATCTGCTTTTTGGTGTGTGTGTGTGTGTGTGTGTGTGTATGTGTGTGTGTGTTTCTCTTTTTTTTTTTTCCATAGCTAGGAACACTTTCTTAAAAGTATATAGGAAAGGGCTGCAGTTGTAGCTCAGTGGTAGAGCACTTGCCTCACAAGTGTGAGGCGCTTGGTTTGATCCTAGCACCACATAAAAACAAATAAGGCATTGAGCCCATATACAACTAAAAAAAATATGTGTTTAAAAAAAAAGGAGGGCTGGGGCTATAGCTCAGTGGCAGAGCGCTTTCCTACCATGTGTGAGGCACTGGGTTTGATCCTCAGCACCACATAAAAATAAATAAATAATAAAGGTATTATGTTCATCTACAACTAAAAAAAAATATTTAAAAAGGATATAGGAAAGAAAAGTTATTTTGAGGGTTTTATTGTAAATAGTAATGAGATCATTACTATTACTATTGAAATCTTTGTCTATTATTTGAATGATTTCTTATTAGAGAAAATTTGTTGGAAAGGTAGTTTAGTGTTAGTTGGCTTTTAACCAACATTTTCTTTTCAAGAGGAGTGGGAGGGCAAGGGAGGAGGCATGGGGTTAGAAATGATGGTAGAATGTGATGGACATCATTATCATAAGTACAGGTATGAAGACACAAATTTGTGTGAATATACTTTGTATACAAC